CTGCCTGGCATATTCAAAGGCCACCAGGTTGGGGGGAAAGGCTTTTTCCTACAGAAATGATTATCCAAATGAAAGCATGCTATCCTACTTCTCATGGCATTTAGCTCTTGATAGTAATATTTCCCAGAACAAATTCATATTGTTGGATGATCACCAAGCCATATAGTTCTTTAATTGCCTACTTTTTTTTTGAGTTCCTAGACCATAGTGAGAATCATTAGAGCTAATGACTTGATTTCTCAACTTATGTTTTATTTTTTAAAATTAGGCAAAGACAATGGGTATAATTCACTGCAATCAGAGAAAACTACAATTATGATGCTTTTGATGAAAACAAGATAGAAGAGGGAGAAAATATAATGAATCATTTCCTAGTTTGATGGACTGATGGGGAAATCCAAATTGGTCCCCTCCCCATCCCAGAGCATTCATTTAAAAGGGGATCACAATTCACTCAAAAGTTTTCCTTGGAAAGATGTCAGTGGCAATTTACTGGACTCAGCTAAGAATTAGTAATGAGCTCAGGAGTGTTGGTTTGGTTTTGAAGAAGACAATGGAGACAATTGTCCCACACTGCATCGATGGAGTGGGGTGAGTTTCATACAAAGTAGAGTTCAGGATCTGAAGTGATTGGGTAGGTAAATACTTTACATTCAAAACAGTAAAACTAAACAAAGTAGGAGCCCAAGAGTTTGTTTAAAAGATTTACATGACTGCCCAACTTGTAGAACACAACTCACAATACTGATAAAACCAAAAACAAGAAAACTAGGCATCTGACCCACAATCACCAGTCCATCAGATCATACAGTCCTCGGGTGCCAACCTCACCCTATCCCAGCACCTGGGGGAAAAGCCAACCCTTTATAGCTTTCCAGAAGGGTGAGGACCTGCTGGATCCTGGAGGAAGGGTGTTCCACAGGGGCTGCTATGGAAAAGGCATGCAAATATTTTTGATATTTGAGATTTCTCTGCTTGCTCCCAATTCTCTGGGCATTGACTTCAATGATCAAAAAAACAATGGAAGGAAAATACTGCTTTTGCATGGGAGGCACGCATGGAGAACATCTATCTATGTGGTCGTTGAGAGTCAACACCGACTTGATGGCATATAATAATTTCAGTCAATAGGCACTGAGATTAGGGAATGGCGTCAAAAGAATATGCTGCCCCCAGATCTTAAAAAAAGCTTTAGATCAGCCCATCCATAGGAATCTGGCTTGTATCAGATCTTTCATCTAGTCAATCAACTTCTCTCCTTCAAGAGCTAAGGGCATAACACACCTTCTTCCCATCTTCCTTCACAAGCAATCGTATGAGCTAAGTTGGGTTGAGAGTGGCTAAGTCAAAATCTCTCTCTCTCTCTCTCTCTCTCTCTCTCACACACACACACACACACACACACCAGGCTTTCATAACTGAGGATGGATGTGAATCTGGGTCTTCCTGCTCCAAGTCTGTCCCTTGACTCATCCTAGTTCAGAATGGTTTCCAGATGGTTCTTCAGCAGATCAACCTGGGAATGTTGTCATTCCTTCCAGAGGCAGCACTGACTGAACTTGGAGCAAGGGTGAGGAATAGTTGCTACAAAGATGTAAACTGATTGAATAGGCTTGAAAAATCAGGCTTGTGCCGTTTTTGTCTCCCAGGATCCATGCCAACATGCACTGTAAATTTCCAGGTGCTTAGCAGTCCTGGAAATGTACACGCTTTGTACATAGAAGATTCCATTTTCAGTCCCAAGGTTCTAGAGGTTGAGCTGGAAATCTTCCAGGGTATGGAATTCAACTCCCAGAATTCTCAGCAGTGATCCTGCCAGCTGGGGAATTCTGGGAGTTGAAGTAGGCACTTTGAAAAGTGTTCAGGTTGGGCAAAGCTGTGTCAAAGAATGAACGGACATGAACCTGAGACCAGAGCTAGCAATTTCCAAAAAATGGTGAGGAAATTTAGCTGACCCTGTCCCCGTCCTCAAGAGAGCCTTGAATAAAGGCATTACAAAACCAGGCTTCCAGGAAATTAGCGAAGGTAAAATTCATTAAGAGATTTAACTCCATGGCTAAACTCACACGACATGCTGAGTGAGATCTGTTAAATTTCTAGTGGCTGTGTTTGCACAACAGACTACGTTTGTTCATATAAACCTTTGGGGCTTTGAACATTTGGCCCTCTCCAGTTAATTTATAGTTCAATGTATATTGCCAAGAAAAGAACATGGGTGTAGTCACTAGAAGATGAGCTAAACTAGAGACTGACTTCACTCTTCATGCAAACCAAGACTATGGGTTAATAAAGTACCACGTTAAGTGTATTGTACAAATGCATTCACTTGTTTACATTTGCATTACATATATTATCCCAGCTCCCCAGTTCATAAACGCCTGCGTTAGACTACTGTTTTCCTAATGGCCACTTGGAAACTCTTTCTCCCTCCTTTTTTTTTTTAACCATCCCCCCTGCCTTTTCTTTTCCAACCACTGTGTATATATAAAGTTGCTTTTTCAGGATTGTACTCCATGCATCAAATAAAGTGGTCTGTGATGCCTGAACATTTATGCAACAGTAAGCCTGTTAGTCTTTAAGGTGCCAAAAGGCACTTAGTTATGTTTTCTAAGCTTCCTTTTCCAACTAACCCCTTCTGGGTGAGGATTTTCCGGAGTGGTGGATTAATTTAAATTCTTTCTCACTTATATGTTCCAGGATTGAGAACCATCCATCCAGTACTGGAAAAAGATGTCATACACTTTTTGGACTAAACCTGGAGCAGATCTGCATCCTTCGGTGGTAACCTTGGGTATCTGCTGGGACTTCAGCCAATTCAAGTCCTATACTGATACTTGCCATTGTCCGTGGTCACCTCTGGATGGCAAACCACTATCTAAATATCTTGCAATTGCCCCAACCTAGCATTCGTCCAGGCCATTATGGAAAATAGCTTGCCATCTATGGTTACCTCCATCACCCCTCTTCACATCACCAGGACCAGGTTTTTATATGTATTTCTTTTTTTAATTGTTGTATGCCACCCAGAGTCACCTGGTGTGAGATGGGCAGCTATATAAACAGGATGGATGGATGGATGGATGGATGGATGGATGGATGGATGGATGGATGGATGGATGGATGGATGGATGGATGGATGGATGGATGGATGGATGGATGGATGGATGGATGGATGGATGGATGGATGGATGGATGGATGGATGGATGGATGGATGGATGGATGGATGGATGGATGGATGGATGGATGGATGGATGGATGGATGGATGGATGGATGGATGGATGGATAAATAAATAAGTCCAGATCCCCAACATCCCCAAAACCCTCTGACAAGGGACTCATCTGTAGGCTGACAGAAGTTAAGAGCATCCAACTCACATCCATTTCAATGAAGTGCCGTTTTGCACAAAAAGCTGTTCATTAGAGCAAAACCAGTCTTAGAAGGCCTGAAAGAAGGCCAAGCGTATCACACCATAAAGGCATTTTTCCCAACTTTGCCACCTTCCCAGAGATGCAATGGAACAGTGATTTCCGGAATCCCCAACCAGCATGAACAAGAGTCCAGAATGATGGAAATCACTGCAGTCCAATGACATGTAGCAGCCAATTTGGGGAAAGACTAGATGTTATCTTTCATGGACCACAGCTTATATCACAGAAAGCCAAAGGCTGTTTTTCTCAACCTGATTCTTGCTGATGTTTTGGGACTGATGTTCCCAGAGTCCCCAGCCAATGCAGCCAATTTCTGGCCTGAAATTCTGGGCATTGTGCTCTCAGTGTATAGACTGGGAATGCTCACTTACATATTCTATAGGTCCTGGATACAGAATGGGAAAAATGGTAAACAGCCATTCACTGAACGATGTGTCTTGGTATTAGGCAGGAACAAAAAATACAGTTCATGTCAATCTGAACCACTTCCCTGGTGATTATTTGGCCCTGCAAGATCAACAGCAAGAATAAATACCCAATTTGTTTTCTATGGTGAGCTAGCCCCATCCAGGAATCATGAAGAACAAACTTCACTGTTTAACGTTTACCTATTTCACGGCATCGATGAATGCCCATCACGTGCATTCAGAAGGTATTTCCTACCCCCAAGGTTGAAAAATATGGGGAGACAAAGCGTGAGTTGCAGTACATGGGCAAGGAGAGGCTTCCCCGGGCGGTACACACCAGAACAAATGGATGTGTCAATCCACACTGGCAGCAAAGATAGCTGGTTAGCACCTGTCTGCAGTCCCTGGCACATATTTTTCCAACTTGTGTTCAACACTATTTTCAAAAAGTAGTGGGGTATTTTTTTTGGGGGGGGGGGAGTCTGACAAAAATGGAAAGCCACAGTAAAGGGAGATTATGTCAGAAACATCCCAGATAAGTGAGATTCTGTTCTGATGACTCTCCTTAATAAGGAAGAGCATTTTAAATATAAAATGTGGACATTGATACGGGGCACCACTTCTGATTATTGGGCCCAGATTCAAAAATCTCCACAAAACCCCCACAATTCATTGCAAATCCCAAGGGGGGAGCAGCGTGGAGATGGATTTGCTTTGCCCAGCTGGGGAATCTGAGTTCAAATCTCCCCCAACCCTCAAAGCCTTGAGCTCCTTCTCCTCTCCTCAGCTCCCCCTTCCTCCCTTTCCTTCTGCCTAGCTCAGCCTAAACCTACCTGGCAGGGCTGTTGTGAAGATGGTTTCTCTGCCTCGTAAGCCTCTCGGAAATTCTTGGAAGATGCATAAACAGGATGAGCGAATGGATACCTAAATCAACAACTGAAGCGTCTCTTGCCGGTACATCTGTTTGTTCATAGGCTCTAAATCAAGACAGCCACCAAACAGCGCGCTCATAAACCAGGTAGCCCAATCTGGGAATCTCGAGCCTTTTTTTTCCCCTCGAGGGCCGGGGTCCTAGGACCCCAACCCTTGTTCTCAGCCCGACTGGTCGTGGCCAGGCTGAGCCTTCTCAACACGTGTGCACGAAGCTTAGCGGCGCGCTTACCTCCGGGGCTGGAGAGCGGGCTCCTGGGGAAGCAGGAGAAATGACAGCGGGCCCAGCGCACAGCCTCGCCCGGCTCCTTCGGCGAAAGTCACCGCTCTTCCCTGCCGCGGACCCCCTCGCGGCTCTGGGGGCCCTGCAGCCCCATCTTCCCCCAGTCTCCCGACGGCTCCGCACGGACAGCTCCAAAGCTGGCGGAGGCGATCGCCTGACAGGGCTCCGAGCCGCGGTCCCAGGGAGGGGCTACGAAAGGAGGGGCGGGGCCGGGAGGAGGCGACCGGGACGAGTTAGGGTTAGGGTTGCCCTCCGCTGGCTTCCTTCATCTCGCGGGGGCCCACGCGGCTCTCCCTGCCTCCGAGCCGGTGCCTGTTTACTCGGGAGTCACGTCGGAGGGACGCGGGCTAGTGCGAAGGGACGAGGTTGCAGCCTTTGGAGTGCCGCGCTTCTTGGGAACGGGGCGCCTCCTGGAAGGCAAGCGGGAGTTACCTGCGAGTCAGCAAACAAGCCGTCGGTATGCCGGGGGTTGGGGTAGGGTGGGGTGTCAGATGGAAAGAGAACGTGGGCAGGGAGGGAAGGGGCAGGGGACGAGCAAAATTGATCATCAGCGCAGAGGAGGATGGAAAGATCAGCACGTGAGAATTCAGAAGGGGAGGCTTTCCCCTTGCGGCCTTGGGGACAAACGATCCCTGTTGAATTCCTGCCTGTCATGCAGAGTACGTACAGTCTCCACCCTGCTTATCTTGGGAGCCCAGGGTCTGCTGTCTGTTGAGATGGCTCAGGCAACTTACCAGTGGGCAAATATGTGACCTTCCAGCCGCTGTTGCACTACAACTTCCAGCAGCCCCAGCTAGGATGGCCAATGATGAACGATGCTGCCTTCATATTGATGCTTTGGGGTCCAACAGTTGTGCAAAGCCTTATTTACCATTCTGGAATAAAGGATTGTGTCTGGCCACCCTCCCCATGCTAAAGTTCTTTTTTAAAAACATAATCCTTATTAAAACCTTTTAAAAGGAAGATAAAAGCTAATGCCAACTAATATAAAATAAAGAGAAAAAGAAAGCAAAGAGAAAGCAAAAAGTGCAAGGAAAGAAAAAAAGGGAAAGAAAAATGGAAAAGAAAGAAAAAAGATACAAAGCAGAGGCTTCCGATATTCTTCACAGCAGTTATAAGTACAATTATATTTTAACCCCCTCTCTAAAGTTACATCATAATACTCTTCTTTCTATAATCTATCCTCTCTAATCATCAAAACCATAAATTGCAAGTTCATTTTTTCATTTTTATGCAAAAGGTCCACAAGAGGTTTCCAGTCAGCAATAAATGTAGACAGTGTCTTTTCTCTGATCAAAGCAGCTCATTTATCTATCTCAGCGAGATCTGTCAATTTCACCAACCTTTCCTCTGTAATCAGTACCGTCGATTCCTTCCATCTCTGTACCTATAATTTCAATAATCATATATTGAAATAATCTTCCATGGCTTTTTTCTAACTGTTTATCCCTCAGTCCTAAAAAGACTTTGGCGTCAATTGAATATTAATCTTTAAAATCCTCTTTATCAAAGTATGTATTCACATGCTCAAGTTCTCAGCCACAGTGGACCAATGCTCACTTTGTGTGAGAGTTAGTTCTCACACAGCCAGTGAAAAACACGACAACAAAGTTGACCATTGCACAAACCAGGGACAGATGGCAATTGGACCTTCTTTGCAAAAAGGCTAGGATAGGGTGGGAAAGAGATAGAGAGGCAAAAGGGGTTGAATACTGATTCTGGAAATACAGTTTGCTCTCAAAACAGTGCAGCGGCTAGAATTCCTTCATGATGGCTACCTAACTTTCCTTCCACTAGGAATGAATTACGAGTTCTTGGACTCTTGTGAGTTGGCCTACGTGGGTACAGTCCTGCCTGCCAGGGAAAGCTAGGCATCCCGGAAAATGAGTTCCATTGAAGTTGGGCAGCTCTTAAATTCAAACAAATAAATAAATAAGGATGGATCAGAAGAGTGTGCACTGATTGACCTTGCAGACATTTGTGCATGGAGACCCAGCTTGGTATAGAATTAAGGGCACTGGAGTAGGAACAGGGAGGCCTGAGTTCTAGTCCTGCCTTAGGCATGAAAAATTAGCTAGGTAACTTTGGACCAGTCACTCTCAGCCCTAGGAAGAATGGATTTTGAAAATCCTGCCCAAAAACCTGCATGCACCTGCCCGTATAGGCACCGCAAGTCAAGATTTCCTCAAAGGACCATTACACACACATGTGTGCATGGGAGGCCTTAAGAACACACAATCAGAACTAGACTGTGAGTGAGCAACTTCTACTGGCTTGAGTGTTCTACCAGCTTTAGTACAGCAGTAGAGATGGAGAGCTAAGGCTGGCCATCAAATTGAAGGAGAACTTGTTGGAAGAAAAGGAGAACTTTTCTACATGACATGAGAGTCCTTGTTCTTATACTGTGCTCAGCCTCTTTTAGAAATCACCCTACCAACTTAAGCAACCATGCTATAGAAATTGCCCCCCCCTGCCGCATAAAACCTTTATGGGCTTGAGTGTGCCACTGGGTTCACCAAGTTAAATAATAGGGCAACCCTAACATTTGTCATCTTAAACTCTTGAACAAAACTTTCCATTAATCTGCCTGCTTGATTCTGGCCCTGCTTCGGTGTATTGGGTTAACTCCCATAATCCCCCTTGCTAGTATGCTTGTTGGCCAGTGCTGGCTAGAGATTCTAGGAGTTGCTGTGATCCCACCTGGGGTTCCCCAAATTGGAGAAGGCAGTGCTTCTGAAAATGTCACATCTTACAGGGAGGTGCTTTCTTAAACTTTCTTGTCTTTTCTCTGAAGCTTCTCAGGACTTATAAATAAAGAGATGATTGGCAGTCCTTTTTGACAACCTGACTGCTTCCTGAACTTGACCCCTGATGCATTGTGGGCTATCGAGCCAAGATAATCTTGCAAATAATTGGATTTTCTAGCAAACCTGCTGGAAAGGGGGGAAGACCACCGATAGCTAGGACAGAATGGCAACATAATTTAAGTACCAGATTAAGCCACTTCTGGATTTGCACAATTAATTGAATCTTAAACTTAGCCAAAGAGGCTGGGTTCACACAACAGACGAAGGCTGCCAAAACAAAACAAAACAAAAAAACCACACACACACACAAAGCAAGCCAAGAAATCAGGGCTGAAGCTAAGAAAGCTTAACATGATGTGAAAACTCACCCAACAGGTTTTTGTTTTGTTTGTAACTGACTTGGTTAAATTCATTGTACGAACCCAACAAGTTGCAAGGATGTTGAACGGAGGGATGGACTGATTGCATTGCATTGGGGGAAATCCTTTAATGTAACTGGAAGAGCGCAGAGGGGAAAGACACACAAATATTGACTAACGAGCAGCTGTCTGGGTGAAAGATCCAGGTCAGCTGGAGAAAGAATTTATGAGGCAGTTGCAGAAAGCAATGAATCTTCAGCAGTCTTCCAGGTGATGCTAATTTGGCTACAAAAGGCCATCTTCACTGCTGATGAGGTTGCTAGGCTGTCAACCTGGAGGTGGTGGTGATATCTTTAAATGCTCTCAGGTGTTGAAATTGCCAGTAATTTGGTATTTTACTGGACAGTAAAACCATGCGCTGTGAACTAAGTAGCAGACGTTTTCAGCTAGGAGGCCTTACGGTAGGGAATGAGAGAGCTAATGGAGAGAAAGATTTCTGCAATCATTACTCTCCCCCCCCATCAGTTCATTCAATTTAAGAAAGAGAAATTGCTTTCAAAATGTGCTTTCAAGTTCCTTTCAAAAGAAGAAGGGTTTGGGGTGAAGTTCTCCTGAAGAAATGGTGGTATGCATGAATATTCTGTCTTTCACTGCGTATTCCTCTCTGCAGTGGACTACAGCCTCTCTAGGTTTCCATGCTTCTGTTAAAGACCAACAGCAGATATGGAAGAGACCTCTTCTCACTGGGCTTTTTTACACTAAGAAAGGAGGCATGAAAAGGGAGGTGTCAGGGTTAGAAAAAAATATTACAGAAAAGCAGAAACATCAGCTGTAGAGTAGCAAGCTTTCCTCCTCCCCCAATAAGAAAGTCAGCTGAGAAACTCCAAGATAAATTTTCAAACACCTTGGAAATGGGGGGGGGGGGGACAGAAGACTTCTTGACAGTGTTAGAAACTAGAGAAAGATTTTTAACAAGATAAAAACAATACAGTTTTTAGAAAGAAATAAAATAGAGAAAAATAGTGAACAGGTAAGAAAGAAAATAGGAGAAAGAAAAGATTGTAAAGAAGTGGCTTCCAATCTTCTTAAAAGCAGTTATAAATGCATTTATATTTTGCCTCCCTTAAGGTTAATTTTCTTCTTTCCATACTCTACCCTGTCTGATCATCAATCCTATAAATCACAAGTTCATTTTCTTCTTTTTTCAGCAAAAATCCATAAAGGGTTTCCTGTCACTAATAAATGTAGTTATTGTCCTTTCTCTAATCAAACAAGTCAATTTTGTCATCTCTGCTAATTCTGCATCTTGACCAGCCATTCCTCCATTGTGGGTATTTCAGAGTTTTTCCATTTTTGTACATATAATAATCTCGCAGCAGTTATCATATACAAAAACAATGTTCCATAACTCTTTTCTAATTATCTGTCCATTAGTCCCAACAAGAAAAATTCTGGTTTCAGTTGGATGTTGATCTTTAAAATTCTTTGTATCAGTGTGTGTATTTGAACCCAAAGACAGTGCTTTTGAAAAAAATGCAAGTTCCAAGTGATATCAGACCAACATTAAGCAAATAAACACACAACACACTTATTCTCTAGAAAATGTACCAAAAATAACCTTTCTCCACTGGAATTTGGACTCTATACCAGCAATACGTGTTTATTTACAACTAACCAACGATATACTGGAAAATTATAACCACAATATTTTTAAATCCCTCCGTTCATTTGTATTCTGGTTTTTTTTCATGTTTCTTTCTTATGCATGATAGAGTCATTCTTTCAAATGTTTAATGAAAAACAAAAAGAAAATAAGCATTAGGCCTATTTCAAGGAAAAAAAACACAATATTTTGGGATTTTAAAAAAAATACATGGAAGTGGCATTATTGATGATTGGGCCATAAATGTCAAGTGAATTTCCTGGGTTGCATACTATCTTTTTCTTAAAAAGTGGGGTGCACAA